GAACCTGTTGTTGCTTGTATGTCGTTGTAGGATCGTTGTTGAAAAAACTATTCGTTTTTTGTTGCTCTTGGAAATGCAATTAGTACTCTGGTATCACAGCGCACACTTCTCAGGATCGCGCTGTCTCCTGGCACGGCCGCTCCAGGCCCGTCGCCATCTTGGAATCTAAACCTGCGAACTTCTTATTTACATGTTGCCCTTTTGATTTGTAACATTTATACAAACTTTATACAAATATATAAAACAATATTAGATTACAAATGTATACTCTAAAGCAAATATACAGTAAAGAGATTTTGGACACCAGCCTTTTATTGTTTGAAGATATCTTCCCTCAGTCTGTGGCTCATCTTTTCACTGTTCATGATGTCTTGTCCTGTATGGTACTTATAAATTTTAATGTAACACAATGTATTTCTTCTCTCTTTTATGAGATATGTTTTTTTGTGACTTGTTTCTGAAGCCTTGCCCTACACATTCTGCTATATTTTCCCGTAATCATTTTTGTTTTGCTTTATTTACATTTAGTTCTTTTATCCACCTGGAATTTTATTTTGGAAATAAATATGAACATAATTTTACTTTTTCCACATTTATTTCTATACCATTTATTGAATCTTTACCCCCTTGGTTTGCGATGGCACCTCTGCCATTTATCAAGTCCCCCTGTGTGTGTGGATCTGCTTCTGGTCTTGTTATTCTTTTGTTTAATCTGTCTGCTACTCTGTTTTAATTACTATAGCTCTGCCATATGATTTGATAACACCCAACCCACCCCCACCTCAACCTCATTCTTTGTTTTCAAAGTTATCTTGATTCTTGGATCATTATATTCCTGAGAACTTTAGTCTCTCTTCGTCAGGTTCCTTCCAAAATCCTACGAAATTTTATTGATTAATTTGGGAAAGTGGACTCTTTACATTTGAGTTTTCTTTTCCCTGAACATGTTATCTCTCTCTACTTATTTACATCTTTTTTTTGTATTCTTCAGAAAAGTTTGTTTTTAGTTTCCTACATCAGCATCCTGCATATCTTTTGTTAGTTTTATTTGACACTCTACAGTTTTTGTTGCCATTGTGTTTTTCCTGTTAAAGTTTTATTTGTTTTTTAATGTTTCTGATTTATATATCAAACTCATATCCAGCATCTTGGTAAACATTATCTTTTACCCCGTTGAGTTTTCTATGTAGATGATTATATAATATGAAAATTATTATAGCTTTTTTTTCCCTTCATTCACAATTTTTATGTCATATTTCTTTTCATGTTTTGGTGGATATCAAGGATCTATAGAGCCACACTGAATAGTAGGAGAGATAGTGGGCATCTTTGTCTTTTTCCTGACTTTAAGGGAAATGTTTCTAAAGTTTCATCATTATGATTGCTATAGTTTTTAACAGGTTAAGGATTTTTTTCTTCTATTCCTAATATTTGGTTGTTTTTTTTAATAATCATCTTTTTTGTGTGTATTGTTTTCTGCTTTATTCTTTCTCTTCTATTTTCTTTATAATAACATCAGGGGTTTTAAAAATTTATTTAATTTAATTAATTTATTTATTTTTTGCTGCTGGGCAGGAATCCAAATCCTTGACATTGGTGTTATAACACTGCGCTCTAACCAATTAAACTAACCAGCCAGCTTGAAATTATTTTTTAACTTCTTGAGCTAAGTACTTAGCTCACTTATTTTAAATCTTTTCTTAAATATATTATTCACTTTGCTAATGAAAGAAGCCAGACACAAAAGTCTGTATACCGTATGATTATGTATTGTACTTACTGCATGCTGTATGATTCCATTTATGTGACAAAGATGGAACTATATGGACCAAAAACCAGATCAGTGGTGGCCTGGGAGTGGGGAGGATTGAGTACAAGAGGGCACTAGTGGAATGTATGTTGTGATGGAACTGTTTTATATCACAGTTGTGCTGATGGTTACATGACTGTCAAACTTACAAAACAGTATATCAAAAAGTGTGAATTTTACTGTGTGTAAATTATACACCAGGAAAAAAGTCAAGTAGATACAAAAATATATATAAAGTAATTCTACTTTTTAAAAAACACATTATTTCAAAAAGGCTATTAATTTTCTATAAGGACTGATTCAATTATATACAGAGTGTTTTTATCTGTAGCACTTTTTAAAACGATTTGAGTCAAAATAATATTAAAAGGTGTTACATTAGATAACACCTTCACTCACCCCTTTTCTGATACACCCCATTCCTCCCTGCCCACTTTGTGCATTGTTTTTTTCATGCACAAATATACGAGGCGTCTTCAAAAGGTTTATGGAAGGAGTTATATTACCTTTTAATTCAATTTTTCCATGAACTTTTTGAAGTATCCTCATATATATTTTTTTTACCTTTTACTTTTAATTGAAACATAATTGATTATACATATTTGTGGGACCCTCATACATTTTGATTCCTTCTTCCTTTCTAACACAAAAGTTAGCACATTATGAACACTGTTCTGTATTTTACTTCTTCACTTGATATATTCTAGAAATCTTTCCATGTCAGTACATAGAGAATGTCTTCATTCTTTTCTTTTTCTTTTCAACATCCCATAATGTCCTATTGTGTGGAACTTCAGAAAGTTCATAGAAAAATAGAATTAAAAGATAATATGAATCTTTCCATGAACTTTTTGAAGTACCCTTGTATGTATCATGGTTTATGTAAGAAATCTCTATTAATGGTACCTTGAATTATATCAAGTTACTTGCTGTAACAGTGTTGCACAGAATAACCTTATGTACATACATCATTTTAGACAAATGCAGCTGTATCTGAAATAAACTCCAGGAACAGAATTACTGACAAAAGGGTACTCTATTTGTAATTTGTATAAGTATTTCCAAATTGCCCTCCATAGAGGTATTACCATTTTATACACCAACAGAAATATATGAAAGAGGGAATTTTTTTTAACCTTTTATTTTATTTCTTTAAAAGCAATTATTTTAAAGTGATAAGAATTATTTTGAAGTAAATACAGATATCCTGACATAATTTTAAGTGTTTTGTTCTTAACAACTTTATTGATGTATAACTTATAAAACCATAAAATTATTTCATTTACATGTACAATTCAATAATTTTTACTAAATTTAGAGTTGTGCAACCATCACTACAATCAGATTTTAAAATATTTTTATCATCTCATAAAGATTCCTCATGCCCATTTGCAGTCAGTTCTTGATTTGCAGTCAGTTCCTGCAGTCACCCCCAGGCAACCAGTAACCTACTATTTATAGATAAGACTTTTGTGTCTAGCTTTATTTTTTACTTAGTATAACATTTTTGAGGTTCATCCACCTTAAGAATTTTTACAACTGACATTTGTTGTAGCATGTATTAGTACTTTGTTTCTTTTAATAACTGAATGATATTTTATTGTGTGGATATATCACATTTTGTTTATCCAGGAACATTTTCTTTTGTAACCAGGTAACATCACACTTAACAAAATTAATAATCCTCCTTGCATCACCTGTTATCTAGATTGTCTTCAAATTTCTCCAGAATCCAGGCCAGGACCATACATTGCAACTGTGTATATCTCTTAATCTCTTTTAATCTAGAGCCATCCCTTTTTATGTGGCACTGACTAGCTGAAGAGACCATGGTAGTTGTTCCAGAGAACACCAACCTCCTGGGTTCATTTGCTTTCTTGTGAGGTGTTCCTTAGCTTTTCCTTCTCTCCTCTGTATTTCTTGTAAAATTTGATTAGATTCCAGTTAAACGTTTTTGCTAGGATACATTAGAGATTATATTGTATGCTTCACTGTGTATCTCATTGAGAGAGATGTGTTTGTTCCACCATTTATAATGCTAAGACTGATCATTGGGCTGGAATGGCGACATCCTGATCTTCCAATGTAAAGTTTATATTTTTTCAGTTCTTGCAACAAGAAAGTAATCTTTGTGGTGTTATTTTGGTAACACACATATGTCCAATTCCCTATCACCTTTTCATTTGATGATCAAAAGTAGTGATTGATAATTATTGCCTGAATCAGTAATTTTATGAGAGTTTGCAAAAATGACAGTTTTTTAATTTTGTAATTCCATCTACATTAATAGTTGGCATTTTTTCTGTAAAGAATAGCTTTTCCTCTTCAACTCGGGCTTATTTGCTTTCCGTGGCCTCGGTCATTCTTTAAAGCAGGAAAGAAAAATGCTTGTCTTCCCCCCACCCAGTAATTTTCAAGTAAGGAGTTGGTATAATGGCTGCTTTGTTGAAATGTACTACATTGCCAGTGTTCCATTGCAGATATTTTATAATTTCCGACATGGTGTCTTTAAATTTATGGGTTAAACAGAAATTGCGTGTGTGAGGATTGTGAGTTTCCAAATAGATTTTTTTAAGTGTGTTTTTCAAGTTACATTCTTGTAGCTGATTTATGATTACAATATGATTAGAGAATGTAGCCTGTATTGAGTTTTAAAAATTATTGAGATGGCCTGTGTAACTTAATATTATTGGTTTTTTGATAGATGTTTTATGCAGTCTTAAAAACTCATATTACTATTTTTATTGCATGAAAAGTGTTAAATGTTTTTCTTCTTTCTTTTTTTTTTTTTTTTTCATCCTGGTGCCATGTTTCTATTGGGTCACGATTATTAGTAATATTATTTGAAACACTGACATTCTTATTTTTTGTCTGCTTGATTTATCAGTTACTTAGAGAGATGTGTTGAAAGTCTCCCATAGGATTATAGATTTTTCTACATATACCCATGCTTTTCAGGTTTTGCTTTATATATTTTGATACTATGTTTTTATGGTCATATAGCTTCATGATTGTTAAATTATCTTGTTGAATGGTTTATTTTATTAGTAACAAAATCTCCTTTTTGTCCCTTTTAAATGCTTTTCACTTAAAATGTGTGACATTAATAATTAGCTACAACAGACATTTTTAGTAGGTATTTTCCTGATATATTGTTTTCTGTTTCCTGATATTTAAATATCTCGTGTTGTTTTGTTTTAGGTGTGTGTCTTATAAGCAGTATTTGGCAGAATTTTAAGCCAATCTGAGAGTCTCTGTGTTTTAGTAGGTGAGTTTACATTTATATTTACTTTAATTAATGATACATTTAGATTTGTTTCTGCCATCATCTTTTGTGTTTTCTATTTGTCATGTATTTCTCTGCTTTTTTTCTTCTTTTGAATGGATAGCTTGCTTTGTTTCTTTTATTTCTCAGATAATCAGTTTGGAAGGTATATTTCATTATCTGTTCTTTCTGTGGTTACTCTAAAGGTTAATATATATCCTCAAATTAATTTTTTAGCAAAATGTTAAGGTTTATCAGTATCTCCTTGTCCCCATGGAATCAGCTAAGAATATTAGCATATTTTAATTTTCTTCTGAAACATCTTTTTGCAGCCACCATGTGTCATTTTTACCTAGTATGTTAGTTTCATTTTTTTACCACATGAAAGGTTGTTTTTGTTCTTGCTCTTGTCTCTTTTCTTTTTTTCTGTCTATATTTATTAGTCTTCCCTGTTTTCTAATAATCTCCTTGCTTACCTTTGTTTCTTGCACTCCATTTCTTCCCCCAAGTTCATTTTTTTCATGTTAAAATAAATCCTTTGATACGTCTTTCAGCAAGAGTTTGTGGACTTTATAAGTCCTAGTCTGTATGAAAGTATTTTTATTTTACTCTCATCTCACTTGAATTCCCTAAAATTCACCTGTAAAGTAGGCACAATAATACACAGGGTTATTGGGGAGAACAAAGTGGTAACATTTGTTGAAAACACTTATAAACTGTTAGACCTGTGTGCGTGTACATGCTGTTACTAGTAGCTAATATAAATCCTCATTTATATTAGCAATACTGTATTTTGAGTGGATTTTTAAAATCATTTCTTACTGTGTTGAGATAATATTTACTGAAATAATACAGTTGTTCATGATTATACTTTTGGGGAGAAGCTAGGATAAGATGAAATTCAGGATCCTAACTCCTAACATAGGGTCACTAACATTCAGTGGAACTTTGAGTCATGCAAGGAGAAAGTGCAGTTTGGGGGCTTTGTTTTTATTTATGAAGGTAATACATGAATAGTGTGGAAAATCCAAATGATACAGAGTGAAAAAGAAAGAGAGAAAAACCTTCCAGAAATCCCAGAATATAAACCATTGACATATTAGAACACATCCTTTCAGACATCCCACTCTGTGTATGTGGCCACATGGATTTATAGATCCTTATCTTTTCATCTTTCAAAAGACATCATATCGCATATGCAGTTTTGCAGCTGCATTTTTCACTTAGTAATATGTCGAGGAAATATAGATAAGGATCATTGCATATAATGGATAAAGATATGCTTTTGTATGGATGTACAAGGTACTTCAAAAAGTTTATGGAAAGAAATTCTGTTTTTCCATGAACTTTTTGAAGTACCCTTATATGATAATTTTGTTTAAGGAATTATCTATTGATAAACATTTAAATCAGATTTGTTCATATTATAAATAATATACATTCCCTGCTTATTTCTTTAGTATAAATTGCTAGCAGTGGTATTTGTTGGTCAAAGAGCATTGCACATTTAAAATTTCGATAAATGTTTTTAAATTTCCCTCCGGAAAGTGCATGAAGATACCCAGTGGAATACCTTTTCCCCTCACACGTTCTGTGTAATATCCCTTTTTTTTTTTTTAATTTGCCAGTTTGAGACTTTTGTCAGAATATCTCTGCTTTTCTGTGAGTTTGAACATCTTTTCTTATTTCAGTGACCATTTGCATTTTTCTTTTAAGAATTCTCTTTTTTGGTCTTTTTCTCTCTTTTAGTGTTTATCTTTTTCTTAATCTGTAAGAACTCATTTTTTATTGGGCTTGTAAATTCTTTGTCAAAACGTCTCAGATATTTTTTCCCCAGTCTGTTGTTTAATCTTTCAGTCTTGTTTGTGTTTTTCTTTTCTTTGCACTTTTGAACATTGTTCAAGAATTTTTTTTTTTTTAAATCAAAAATTCTTTTATGGTTTCTGGGTTGTTTTCTTACAGTGAAGTAATTGAAAGGTCTTTTCCACTTCAAGATTATTAGAATATTCATCCATCTTGTCTTTCAGTGTTTTTACAGGTTCATTTTTCTCCCATCTCTAATTCATTTGGAGTATGTTTTGGTATAAGGAGGGATACGCGTCTGTGCCTCCCGGCTTCTCACATCCTACTCTGGTTTAGAAACTTGACTGGTGAAAAAGCTAAGACATGAGCAGACTTAATCCTGGCAGGAAGTGGGACGTAGCCTCCTGCTTTTCAGTTTATTAATGTGCCTTGATAGTCATGAGTGGAGGTGGAAGTCGGGAGGGGCAGGAGCAGCTGGGGGGGGTGACATTCACACGTCGGGGTCACCTTCTGTGAATGTGCATGTGGGACAGATTTAAGAACAGAAGTTACCAGCAGAGTTGTCTGTCTCTTAGTTTTCTGTTTCAGTTCTTTTAGTGACCCCTGAGCTCTTTATCACGGGAAGTGAACCTGTGGTAGGTGACATAATTCACCAGTCCATGAGAGGACTTTCATAGATGTTTCAAGTGTTAAGTCTGTACTATTTTTGAATACTAAGTGCCCTTTTTCTGTGACGAGCTCTGAAGTCTATGGGCAAGCAGTATTTTTTCTAGCTTTTTATTTCAACGTATGTGCCCGGTTCAGAAAGGAATGGGGGGTGGGGAGCCTTTTTCCCTTCTTCTTTTTGACCGCTGATCCCCAGACCCCTAAGTAAATGCTGTTAAGTTTTTTGTATGTCTTACAGAAATTTCAAGCATTATTTTTGACAACTGCACACTGCTGAATGTTCAGTTGGTGAAATTGAAGGTCTTTCACTCAGAAGAAATAAATCAAGAAGAAGGTAAGAACCAAAAATATATTAATGGATTTGAAATGTACTTTTCTTCAAGTAGTAAGAATTCATCCAGTTATTTTTTTAGGATAATCCCTTTTGAGAATAAAAATCAATTTAGAGAATACAGGAAGGATGGAATAGATGCCAAGGGCAGAACCATAGCTGGTGAGAACAGCCTCCGTGTGTTGAATACCTAACACAGGCCAGGCTTTGCGTGTATTGTTACTAATTTACACTGTTAATATCATCAATGTAGAGACAGGAAACTGAGACTCCAAGAGATACGTGACATACCCACTTGCCCTGGCTGGTAAAGGACAGAGCTGGGGTGTGGACTCTGGTCTCTCTGCCTTTAGAGCATCTGTGTTGTAGGTGGCCCAAAGTCTGTTCCAGCCAGTCCTTTAAAGGCCTTTACCTGCTTTGGACTAGATAGTGCCTTCTCTTTTTGCTGCTGCTTTATTTTTTTCATGGGCGCATGAGCAGTAGACATCATAACCATAGTCACATTTTCACATTTAGAAACCATGGCTTATGGATTGCATAAAAATTACTTCAATAATAAGGTTTGCTGTTTTAAGTTCTTCCCATTATTGAAACGTAACAGGGCCTCTATTGCCATATGCAATTATAAGTGGCACCCCTTATTCAGGCTGCTTTCCTTTCATTTGTCCAGAATTTATTATAAATATTGATTTATTAGAACAAAACATAAAATTCATAAAACTGCCATCTGACAACTATTGTAGTAAATGTACAGGTTTTCAGTGGCTGAGATGTAAATGGTGCCCCTGAGGGTTGTGTGGTAGCCTGGTGAGGAGACATTATAAAGGTGGTGGTAATTCTGTAATTCTCGTTCTACAACTATTCTGTTTTAGGTTTTTCCAGGAACTGGCTGTGTATGGCTAGTAAGGGAGATGGGGAGAATAGGAGGTGGGTGAACAGACCTACATTTATTCTTACGAAAATGGAAACAGCATATCAAACTTCAGTTTCCATTACACTCCTATAGGCCTCCCCCCATCTTACATTTTGACTCTTGTGAGAAAAATTGTCTTTGGCCGCAAGATCATAGAGTAAAGTGGAGAGGCAAGACATGTACGTGGAACCGAACTGGAGAGAGTTTGCTGAAATGTTCCGCTGCATTGTGTGACTTAAAATATTGAAAGCATTAGAGCTAGAAAAGATTATAGTGGCTAGAAGTAATCAGGACAGGTAAGATATTCAGCCAGTGGAGAGAACAAGGAGTCTTGAGATTCTGTCATTTTCATACATATTAAGAGGCAGAAGAGGGCCGGCCGGTGAGCTAAGTGGTTAGAGTGCGTTGTTACAACACCAAGGTCAAGGTTTAGATTCCTGTACTAGCCAGCAGCCAAAAAAAAAAAGAGGCAGAAGAGCTGTGTGTCCCAAACACCCATAGGTCGACCCAAGGTAGAACCCTTGGTAGACAAACCTTCTGATAATGACATTCATGTTCATCCTCCATAGCAAATTCTGGAATCCCAGGAAATCTACCCCCAATTGATTATGGGTGAAAGGGCACCTGTCAGAAGCCTCCTCAGCCCTCTCCTGGTGTTGTCGATCTGTCCCCTACCCTTAGTTCCTTAGCATTTGCTGTAAACAGTCTACTGCGCTGCTGTGCCGCGTTTGCACGTTGCCTTGGGATTTTCTTCTTCCTCCGTCTCCTGCTTCCTTTGGTCTCCTTAGCACCTGGTGTCGTCTCCATGTAGAAGATGTCCAGTAAACGCTTGTACATGAATGTCCTTAGGCTGAGGCCTGTGCTCATGGTGCCAGGAGAGCCCTGTAGGATCCTGAATTGTAAACCACCCTTGGCCTTAGCATCTGGAGCAGAGCTGAGGCCTCACTGTCACTCCAGTCTGAATGCTCTGTGTCACATACCTGTCTTTTCTTGTCTCACCTGGAGGTTCTGTGTAAAAAAGCCAGTGCTTTAGGAGGTTCCATCCACGACTCTTATCTGGTGTGTGATTTCTGAATAGACTGGAATGGGTAACATATAAAATCTCAGTACTAAGGACAGGCCTGTAACTTAGCACTTGCTATCCTGACTGAGCCCTGACTTTAGCCAATGAGGGAAAAAAGGGGCTGGGGTGGTGTTTTGGACAAGTAAAGCTATTTCGTAGTCTGAGCATTTGAAAACCCAAGAGACACTTATCCTATTTGTGTCTGGAGACCTCGCCTTTCAGGCGAAGACTCTCCACCCTTTATCTTATCGCACATCAGCAGTCAGCATGAAGAATGGTTGCTACAGGGTTTTTCATACTCCAAATTTGCTAGAATCCATATCAGATCACACAGCTGAGAAAGACCCTTGGTTTATTTGGACATGTTGCTAGTGATATCTCCAACATAGCATTGAATCCTTTACTTCTTTTATCTTAGGGGTAAAGAGGAGACATAATTTGTTTCTTATTATAGATTCATTTTTTTAGCCCACTGTAATCCAGCTTTTTTTGTCCCTCCAGGTGTCTAGGACAAAATTCATAATAAATAGCGTGTTAGTCTGTTTCTGTTGCTTATAACAAAATACATGGAACTGGAGAATTTATAAAAAAATGAAATTTATTGCTTACAGTTTCAGAGGCTGGAAGTCTAAAGTCCAGGGAACACATCTGGCGAAGGATTTCTTTGGTGGTGGCTTCAGTGACAGCAGGGTATTACATTGTGAGAATGGTGCTGCAGAGAGAGACCAACCTCATCATTCACTCTCCTTTTAAAGCCTTTCAATCCATGCCCCTGACCACCATTATTAATCCGTTCACTACTGCATGGTCCTACAATCCAATCATCTCTTCAAGGCTCCACCTTTCAGTTACCATAATAGGATTTCCCACCCTCTTAAACAGTCACAGTGAGGGACCAAGTTTCTAATATATAAAACTTGGGTGACACAATTCAAGCTTCAGTGAGTTTGGGGGGCGGGGACATTTAATCCACTACAAACAGTTACTTGTGTAGAACAAGAAGTGTTAGTTTTTCCAAAATAACCAAAGGATGTGTTTTAACCTTGGTCTAGATATAGAAAGCTAAAATACATTTTTGGTTGTTGGTATCCACTTATAGTTAAATAAAGTATAGAGTCAGGTTAGGATTTTTTATTTTGCTTTGGAGCTTTTGTCCTACTCTTTCTTCTTGAGTAGATAATCAGATGTAATTTGAAAAAGTATTTTGGGCAGGGGGATACTAACCGATCTTTGATCTATCTTCCAGAACCTGCAGCTGGCGTGCTTCCGAGCTGCTGTGGATGGCTCTGGCTCTCTTCACTGCCCTCCTGAGTAGGATGTCACTGAGATCCCTCAAATGGAGCCTCCTGCTGCTGTCGCTCCTGAGTTTCCTTGTGATGTGGTACCTCAGCCTCCCCCAGTACAATGTGATCGAGCGTGTAAACTGGATGTACTTCTACGAGTATGAGCCAATTTACAGACAAGAGTTCCGCTTCACGCTTCGAGAGCATTCCAACTGCTCTCATCAAAACCCATTTCTGGTCATCCTGGTGACCTCGCACCCCTCAGATGTGAAAGCCAGACAGGCCATTAGAGTTACTTGGGGTGAAAAAAAGTCTTGGTGGGGATATGAGGTTCTTACATTTTTCTTATTAGGCCAGCAGGCTGAAAGGGAAGACAAAATGCTAGCTTTGTCCTTAGAGGATGAGCACCTTCTTTATGGCGACCTAATACGACAAGATTTTTTAGACACGTATAATAACCTGACCTTGAAAACCATTATGGCATTTAGGTGGGTAACCGAGTTTTGCCCCAATGCCAAGTACGTCATGAAGACAGACACTGATGTTTTCATCAATACTGGCAATTTAGTGAAGTATCTTTTAAACTTAAACCACTCAGAGAAGTTTTTCACAGGTTATCCTCTAATTGATAATTATTCCTATAGAGGATTTTACCAAAAACCCCATATTTCATACCAGGAGTATCCTTTCAAGGTGTTCCCCCCCTACTGCAGTGGGTTGGGCTATGTAATGTCCAGAGATTTGGTGCCAAGGATCTATGAAATGATGGGTCACGTAAAACCCATCAAGTTTGAAGATGTTTATGTTGGGATCTGTTTGAATTTATTAAAAGTGGACATTCATATTCCAGAAGACACAAATCTTTTCTTTTTATATAGAATTCATTTGGATGTCTGTCAGCTAAGACGTGTGATTGCAGCCCATGGTTTTTCTTCCAAGGAAATCATCACGTTTTGGCAGGTTATGCTAAGGAACACAACATGCCATTATTAACTTCACATTCTACCCAAAGCCTAGAGAAGGACGTGATACACTGAGGAAGGTGTTAGAGTCAGTGCTGTGGAAAGCTCACGGGAAGGTCAGTGTGCTGGCTTGCACTGAACTGAAACTCACGAGGAACCCGTAGACTGCAGGCTGGAGCCTTGCACTTGTGATTTATTTTGACAAAAAATCAAGTCAGGCCCTTTAAACGTGGTATTTAGAGGAATTAAATATCTTATAAAGGAATTGGAGGTTTTTGCTAATAAAATTAATAGGACCAAACAATTCGAACATGTCATCCTGTAGACAGAATTTCTTAAAAGGGTTTCACTGAATTATAAGCTCATTAGTTCATAACAGCAAGATAGTGTGGAGTTTTATTTATTGAACAATCTAGTTATTTAATGGTTTTGTGTATATTTTACATGGATTACCAGTTTTAAAAAATACATAGTTCTGTGTGAAAAACAACTTTACTGAAGTTATGCCGAACAAAATTTCATCTGTTTTTGGTCATTCAAAAGGTACTTCAAGATGTTGCAGTATTGTAGAGTTATCAGTTATTATTTAATATTACTTCAGACTTTCTGGGTGTTTAGATGTTATGGTGGTTTTGATACTGTATAAATAGAATAGTGAATCACCCTTTACATTGGAACTTTTTTCCAGTTACTTCACCGTTCAGTTTATTATTGATAGCCACATTAATGTAAAGTCATAGACGATTATTGCATATCAGTAATCTCTTGGACTTGATATTTTACTGTGGTAATGTAGAGAAAAATTGAAGTAAGAAAATCTGAACTGTTTTGCTTTGAAAAAAACAGTCCCCAGTGTTTTTAAATGTCACTTCATCTGTCTCTTTTTCCATCTGGAAATTAGGAATAATATAGAATGCCAGGCAGTATTATTATTTTTTTTTAAAGGACTCTGAAGGCAAAAAAGAAGGGCCAGAATACTAGGAAGAGAGTGTCATATTCCAGTATTTGAGTTGGAAGGGGAAGACTGAAGACCCAGTTGCATTACTAATCTGCCTCCTATGTTTCCTCATTAGCAGTTTGTGAATAAAGAGGAAAAAAAGAAAAAGCTGCTGCTGTTGTCATTAGTTTCTCATCAAGATGAAAGCCCTAATGTGTAGTCTAAAGCCAAATCTGATGTAAATCTCACACGCTTTCAGAAAAGCACGTTTCGTCGTGGAAGGGATGGTGTATTTTTGTTGGACCTGCTACTAGTAGGTCAAAGAGGAACACTCTGCCCTCATGCTCCTGGGATGATGCAATTTCCTATTAGAGTTGATATGGGACAGGTGATTCCTTTTTTCTGAATTACATGTTGGCAAAAGAGCAAATCCTTTGGCAGGAAATAAGAACTTGAAAGTATGTAGTCAGATCTTATAGTATTCAGATATTTATAATTCTCCTATACAAAAAGCCTAACTTCCACGCCCCAACCTAGTCAAGAGCACACAGAGCAGGGAGGTGGCCGGTTAGGGAGGCGGAGACTCAGCAGAAAACACACACCCTGCAGGGAGACGTCTGGCTAGGGAGGCGGAGACTCAGCAGAAAACACACACCCTGCAGGGAGACGTCTGGCTAGGGAGGCGGAGACTCAGCAGAAAACACACACCCTGCAGGGAGACGTCTGGCTAGGGAGGCGGAGACTCAGCAGAAAACACACACCCTGCAGGGAGACGTCTGGCTAGGGAGGCGGAGACTCAGCAGAAAACACACACCCTGCAGGGAGACGTCTGGCTAGGGAGGCGGAGACTCAGCAGAAAACACACACCCTGCAGGGAGACGTCTGGCTAGGGAGGCGGAGACTCAGCAGAAAACACACACCCTGCAGGGAGACGTCTGGCTAGGGAGGCGGAGACTTGGCAGAAAACACACCCCCTGTGGGGCCGCCAGGGCGTGATCCAGCAGCCAGGGTCAGAACACACGGAACAGGGAGAACTCCTACACGGGAAGTGGAAGCTCAAAAGAGACCACACATCCTGCGGTACCGCCCCGTGATCTAGCAGCCCAGCAGAGTCCAAGCTGACCAGAGAGGTCGCTCCCCGGAGGGGCCCAAGACCCGAGGCAACCACACACACAAGACACTAGAGGCCAACTGAGCAGTCACAGAGGTACC